GAAAATTTCCCCCCCCCCCCCCCCCCCCATTTAAAAAGGCCAAGCTAATGTTGGTCAGTCTGCCTGTAGTTATAAATATTAAACACAGATGGTGAAAGTTCTTTTTCTTTTCCTTGCGAATTTGTTTAAAACTTTCCTTTTATGCAAAATACCATGCAACTCCAAAGACTACACTTACATAAACACTTTGCAATACACTAACAGTTAAAGCCACGAGTATCTTCCGTTCTCATTCACTGGATTCTTACCAAGCTGGCTCATAACATACATTTTCCATTTTTACCCCAAGCAACAGCATTATTTTTTTTTGCTTTACATTTAGCTACACATCCTTTGCCCGCCAAACTGCAAAACCTTGATCTAGCACTATGCTGGCAGGAGAAGAAGTGAACTTCCTGATCAAGCCCACAACACCACCAATACATATAACTTAAGATTTTACTACTTGGAATACTCTCACTGTTTTATGGCATATTGCTGTGAGCCAAAAGCGTATTTTGCTGCAGGATGGGATCACAAGTTTGACAGTTTCCATTTCAGATATGTTTTTATTAAGCTGAATCAGGAATTTTTTTTTCCAACACACCATCTCTTCTAATTACTGAAGAACTTCAGATCATTATGTGAAACCACAACCACGTATTTCCAGACACCAGTTCTGCACCCTTGCCTCAGAATCACCACAGACAAATGACCCAACAAGTTTTCTCAATATTTAAAGCCACAAAAGCTTCCTATATCCTTAGAATGAAAAAAAAAAAAATCATCCTTTAGGAGTTCCATTGAACAGTCCTCAATAAACCTGAACATGTCACACGACACAAGACCTCGCCAGCCTCAAGCCACAAGCAAGAATAGTTAGAAACCACAAGCCAAAAAAAAAAAACCCAACCCCCAAAACACAGAAGCTCAAATTCTGATCTCAGTCACCACATTGTAAATCCATTACAACTTCACAGACACTGGATTATTCCAGATACATACTAATTTCAGAGCAATTTAGCCAGAAATCTGATAAAGCCTGGAAGATTCGACTTTATTCAGCAAGCATCAGATAACACCAACTTCCAGTTTCCTCCAAACAAGGAGTCACCCCTTGGTTATCAACCTGAGGGAGCAAAAGTTGAAAGAATATTTTGCTTTCTGCTGACAGACACTCACACCCTTGGTTATGCACCAGCTGTTCAGCTCAGCAGTTTAAAAAGAGACTGAGAAGAGATTTATAAAAATCCTTTTCAAAACAGCGCATCAGATTTTGTCTGTTGCTAATTAAGAAAACCTCAACGAAACATATAGCAAAAAAAGGGTCTAAAAACAACATAAACCATTAAGGACAATAAACGCAAGCTAGCCCTGCTACTGCTTGCTCCCTCCCGGGAGGGCGATGATGGAAACCAGACCCCAGCACCAGGTACACCAGGGCCCATGCCTGAGCCAACAACTGAAGCTGAGGGAGCAGAGACAAGCACAAACGTCTTCCTCCCCAACATAACAAGCTCACATACTATTTCCTTCTCCACTTCCAGCTCACCTTCTCTCCAAAATAGCCTGCCACTCAATGAAGTGCCTCCTTTAAAAGTTTCTGCCATCTGACAACTGCGCTGGTTCTCTGAACCCTCCCCGAGCACCCCAAGCCGGCTCCCTGAGCACCCTTTCCCCACAGTGACTCCCTCGTTTCTTCTCACGGGTGTCCCCCACCCCATCCCACCCTTCCACCATCCACAAGCCCCTCCTGACCCAGCCCTCTCAGCTCAGGCCCAAACCCTCCAACCTCCAGATAACACCCCCTGGCTCCTCTAAAGCTCCGCCCCCGACCAAACCTCCAACTTCATTAACCCAGCTCCTCGAAAGTCGCCAACCCCAGGTGACACCTTCCACCCAGCCCCACACTCCTACGGCCCAGCCCGGGCCTCCTCCGCAAGCTCTTTAGCCCAACCTGGCCCTTACTAACGGCACCACCAGCCCAGCCGCCCCGACCCAACCTCCCTCCACCGAGCGCTGCCTCCCTCAACGGCTCCTCAGCAGCCCCCTGCCCGCCTCAGGGCCTCCTCGGGTCCCCGGGACGCCCCAGGTCCGGCCCCCCCCCCCAGCCACCCCTCCAGCCTCCCCATGACTCCCGTAGACCAGGCGCCCGCACCCTCCGCAGCGCAGCCCACCCGACCCAGACGCCCCAGCTCACCCGGGTTGGCGGCGGTAGCTGCCATGACCGGTGCGGGCGGGCAGGCAACCGCCTCCCTCCTCGCCGCCACTGCCAAGATGGCGGCACAGGAAAACCTTCTGTGCTGCCGCGCAGCCTAACCTGCCCGCCGGGAGGGGCGGGGCGGACACGAGGCACGGAGCTCCTATTGGTTCAGGCAAGGGGCGGGGGGCGGAGCGAATGCTCCCAATGGCACAGCCAGCAGGGTAGGGTGAGGGCGGCCATGCCCCTCCCCTAACCACGGGAGGGGGCGGGTCTCTGGAGGGGGCGTGGCTACGGCGGGGTGTGTGGGGAGGGATGCGCGCGTGGGGCGAGTTAAAGGGCGGGTGGGGTGACATCACGTGCTGGACGTTTGGGGTGTTTGGTTTTTTTTTTTTTTTTGTCGGAGGGCAAGAATCCTGCTGGGATTGGGACTGAGATTGGGTTTGGGATGGAGGCTGTGGTGGGGATTGGAAGTGGGGATTCAGACTGGGCATGGAACTGGAACTGGAACCCCAAAACTCAGCCTTTGCCAAAAAAAAAAATCACCAGAAAAACCACCCCGCGTCTGCCTGGGGGCACTCCCAGGGGTGGCAAAGCTTCGCCGTAAAATAATCCTCTTTCTCACGGTGATCCTTTTTCCTGTTGGGGGGGCAGAAATAAAGAAACCCGAGGGAGGAGCGGGATTTCTGTGGTGTTTAAACTGTTTCAGGGCTTGTTGCGAGGCTGTTTTGCAAGAGCCAAATGGGCGGCTCCGTTCAAAGCCCAAAGCGTCGCAGTTTCAAAGAGTTTTCCCCAGTTCAGTCGGAAATGAGCCAAGGACCAGCTCTAAATTATCTCGCAGGGTGGGGAGGACCTGGCTCCTGCTGCATTTTGGCGATAAATCCTTCTCAATGCTTCCCAGTTCACGCCATGCCCCCACCGGGCCCTGCAAGACCCATGAAGGGACCCTGGAGCCTTTACCCGCTGGGCAAAGGGGGAGCTGGAAATAGCAGGTGAGAATTTAATCCACCAGATTGTTTCTCCCCGTTACTGGGAGCATCTGAAAGGTGATGCCGCCGCATTCCTGCAGTATTCATGAAGTCCGGGTGACGGCAGGCACGGGGACAGCAAGGGAGCTGGGGACAGCGGGGCAGGGAGAGGGGCACAGCATCCGTTTGTCCGTCTGTCCACAGGGAGGTAAGGAGCTTCCCCGGTCGGCACACATGGGACAGGGCCGAGACCCGGGGGCTTCCCGCAGTCTCTGGGTGCTGCAGGACTTGGTCCTGTTGATTTATCTGCTGTCCTTGGCGTAGTTAGGGCTGTGGTCATTTGCTCCTGGAGCATATGTTAGCTTTATAAACACATTGAAAAAAAAAAAAATCTATATAGGCATACGCCTATAAACACACAGCTCGGTCCACGTGGCTCTCCTGGCGCCACTCAACAAGCCTCTGCTTCTCCAACCTTGTACAAATCTAATTATCCGTCTGCTGCCACAAATATCTCTCTTCAGCAACGAGAAAACCCGCTTTTCCACCCCTGTTTGCTTACCAGCAGTTTTTCCTCCTGTCCTGCTTCTAACCCCAGCCAGCGTTCGTTTTGCTGGGGGTCAGCCAAGCCCTGGTGCACTCATTGCACCTAACACAGCAGGGAGTCTGGGGTCCTGTGGGGAAAAAAAAAACAACTTAATAGGGGTATTTTAACCTGCTTTTTCCTGGGAAAGGAGGAGGCTGGGCAGGGAAGGGAAGCTGGACGGGGTGGCAGGGTGAGACAGTGAAGATCCCTGTGGGGAGGGCCCCTGGGACAAGGATGGGAAGACACTGCCTGTCCCCCGCGCCGCAACCGACAGCCATGACAAGGAGTGGAGGGGTTTCAAGGCCACGATTTCCCCATTTTGGCTGCTTTTGACAGCCCCCTAGTACTTCCCCTGACCTGCGAACCACTGAGCCCCTGTGAATCCCACCCATCTCTGCTCCACAGGCATGCCAGTGGCAGCCAGGTGCTCAGGGCCATGCACCTGAGGGCCGCCTGCATGGAGAACGCCACCGTGCTGCCGGCGGTCGACGTGGACAAGGGCTTTGCCATGGCCTTTGTAGTGCTCATGTGCCTCTTCCTCCTGGCCATGATGGTGCGGTGCGGCAAGCTCATTGTGGATCCTTACAGCGCCATCCCTACCTCCACCTGGGAAGAGGAGCAGATCAACTGAGGACCCCCGAAACCCCCAGGGACCACAGCTCCCCAGCATACCCCACAGCCCTCCCTCACCACAGGGTGCTCCAGGGCAGCCCAGGGACCTCCAACAACCCCCGGTCCCCCAGCCCCCCCAGAACCACCCAGCACCCCAGGTCCCTCCAGCACTGTGGAGGACCCAGGACACCTAGAGCTCCCCATCGCCCCCCAGGACCCTCAGAGCTCTCCATCCCCCCCAGGACCTCAGCCCTGCCCCCCCCCGGACCCTCA